GAGGGGGAGAGAGAAGATGGGCTAATTAGAGAACTAAAAGTATGGCAGACACTTCAGGAGCAATGAGTGAAAATGTGAAGACAAGGCTAAAATAGACTTGTAAACTATGATAAGAGTTATTCTGAGACAAAAGCACTCGGGAGTCTTTGAAGGGTTTAAAGGATAGGAGAAAATCGGATTTGAATTTATTCAGAGAACACTTTGGGTAATGAGTGTTGACTAGATGGGAAATATAATAGGCTGGTACAAAAATCAGTAGGTATGGTGGAAAGTGCTTGAATTTGAGAAATAGTTGGTGAAACTGGAAAAACTTGGGTGATTTTTGGATGCAGAGGATGAGGAAATTAGATTCAAGAATCACATCCAGATTTCTGGTTTGTGAAACTAGGTAGATAAACAAGGCATATGAGATAAATTCTGGGGACAGAAGATACATTCAGATCTGGACATGCTAATTTGAGGTCCCATTTTGAACACCCAAGAGATGACAGCTAGGTGTGTATCTGGATGAAGTTCAGAACAGAGATGTAGGCTGGAACTACAGAAAAAGAAATCATAATACAGATGCTCATTTGAAGCCATGAGAGTGCATGAAATCACCTGGTGCAGGCTCAGAGAAAACGGCCTGGAGACAGCCAGTGGAAGGACCTCAAAAGGAGACTAAGGAATGGCCAGGGAAACAGAAGGAACCCCTGGTGAATGTGGTACCAGAGAAGTTTAAGAGAAAGCTGCTTTTTAAAGAGAACAAACTGGTTAAATCTAAATGTTAAAAGGAATGAAAAAACAAAACACATGGAACCTATTGGATTTATCAACAGTCTTTATTGACTCAGGAAGTTCTGGTGAAGTTGTGAATGGCTTTTGAAATAGAGACAGAATGTGAAGAACTGCTTGCAGTTTGGCTGATGCAGGGAAAAATATGGCAGTTGCTGGAGGTAATTATGAGGGTTTTTCAAAAATGACAGAAACTTAGGCCCATTTGAATATAGAGGAAAAAAAAGTAAAGATACAGGAAAGGAAAAACCAAAGGATTAAGTTCCTTAAAGGGACAGCCCTGAGATCAACCTTAGCCTGGAAAAGAAATGGTGTCTCTAAATGGCTCCTCCCCTTGAAAATGTGAATAGAAATTGGGTTCTGCTAGGGCTTCCTTATTTATTGATCAAGTTGCCCTGTCTCAGGATATAGATTATCCAGCAATGTGTATCTTCAGCATTATATCTGGAAGAAAATCCTGTTTCCAAAACGTGGTTTGAAGTTCTGTCATAAGGCCATTTAGATACAATTTGGGGTGGCTAAGGTCAACACTTGTGATCACACTTGCTTATAAGTTTCTTCCCGTTTTTTTCAGTAAAGGCAAACTGTATTTAAAGTATGTGTGTACCTTATGTAAGAACCAACATTAACCATTTCTGATTCTCTGAAAATGTACTATCCCTAGCTTTGGTTAAATTTTGTTTTACCTTTGCTAGTCCTATTTTATATAAAATCGCCAGATTTTACAAAAGTATCATACTTCGTCATAACGTAGATGCATGCTGTTGAGTCAGCAATTTTCCCCCTAATTAGGTGTAGTCTGACCACTAGTCAACGGTGATTAATATTTGAGGCTTTCCGCTTTTATACCTCTGTACCTTGGACTTTGGGAAAAATTTCAAACTCTCTGGTTGGGAAGGGAATTGTACTATGCCTTGTTTTTTAATGCCATTAAGTGATTAGAGCCACGTTGTTTGGAATATGACTCAATATATCATTTCAGGTGACTGACAAGTTATCTATCATTTGCATCCCTGGCTCTATTTTCTGTTATTTACGTAAGTTCATCTTAAAGGGAATAAAACTTTCGACACAGTTTCAACATTGATAGTCTAGTACTCTAGACTGAATCTATTTGATAGAGCTTTTTGCAACTATGGAAATTGTCTCTACCTGCACTGTCCAATATGGTAGCCGTTACATGTGATTACTAAGCACTTACATTATGCCTTCTGTGACTGAGGAAGTAAATTTTCAATTTTATTTAATTTTAATTAAACTTAGCCACAGTGACTCTTGGTAACCCTATTTTTGCATGTGGTGTTGAAAATTGTTCATTAATGATGGTAATACTATTCAAAGACTTGAAATTCAATAAAATGTTATCTGCTAAACACTTGGTAAAAAAACTAGTGACTACCACTGTTCATTTAATTTTGCCTTGCTAAATTTCAAGGCAAATTTTTTTTAAAAAAGAAAAGGTACATTCATATAATTTATAATTTAGCATGAGACTCCAGAACATTTTCTCTTAAGGACCTCTTCTTTACTGATAGCCAAGCTAAAATAATTTTTACTGGGTATTATTTTCTAGCCCTAGCAGGTTGAGAAAAAGACTTGGCAAAGGCTTTAAGGCAAAAGCTGAAAAACACAAAAGCTTTCATATATAATAATTTATATGTCAACTGACACTATTAATACTTTATTGAAAATATTCCTACTGAAAAGACTGAAAAGTATGGAAACATTAAAGTATTTGGTAAGAAAACAAAAGCAGATCTTTGCTATCGGTGTGAAGTACTAACTGACAATTACCAATTATTCAAATGAGAACACAACCTACTTGTGACTAGAGAAATAATTATTCTGTTTGTGGATGACATAAGCAGTTTGGCCAGGAAAGAACCAAAGGACAAGAACAACATATAATTCCAAGTTGGTTAGTTTATATAAATGAAATGAAATAGTTAATTTTACTGACTAATATACTCAACACTTTATCTTTACTCCCAAGATTTGTAAAGATTCAATTATTAAAATAATTCAAGATTGGTACTTATATTTTTTAATTTATAAAAGGTAAGGAACCTCTGATGCTAAAAGATAGAAAGAAAATAAAAGCATCTTATGAGGTATAATTATAGCCAAATATAAAAATAAATGGAACCTCTTGATGCAGCCAAATTATTGTATTAGAAACAAACTACAGTTCTGGGGGCAGAGGAGGAGGAGGAGGTATTTAAAAGCTTCCTTTAAAGAAAGGAAAGAAGCAATTTATAAATCTATGGTCACATTACTGTGGAAGAAAAACTATCAATAAATTCCAAAAGTTAAATCTAATTGGAAAATATCTAGCTTGAAAGAAAAACATTCTGGTTTCAACTAGGTTTTTGTTTTTGGTCCATTTTATATAAGAGCTTATTCTTTTTCCAAATGGGTATTTATTATGTGCAAATACATAAAAGTGATTCCCATTTTTTAAAACATACTAAAAATATACATTAACCACAAAAAGTATTCACTGACTGGAAAGACAATGAGCATGGCTATTTTCAAAATAGCAGTAAACACAAGAAGCCAACATATATAAATCACGACAAGTGTACATCTCATTTTTGACAAAAATAAGTTCTATTTTTACATTAATACTTTATTACCAGCTTCTATATGATATCCTCTGACCTTATGTACATTTACTATGAAATTTCTATTCGCATGTGTAACTCAAAGGCACTCAATTCAGAGGTTATAAAGTCCTGAGTTTTAAGTAGGAAATAGGATTCCCAACTAAAATTTGAACAAAAATAATTCTAAAGATCAGAGAATATGACAATGTTTAAAGTGTAATATTTGGTACATAAGTAATCTTATGACCTAATAATAAACTTTTACAGAATGTCAAAGAAAAGACCATGTAAGGCAAAGGAATATATTCAGAATCAAACTGATTTTCTTCCTCGTTCAAGTTCATTTGGAAGTCTGAAGCTGATTTTTTTGTTAAAATCCTAGGAAAGCTAAATTAAAAGAAAAATAAAATAGCATAAAAATGCTTAAGTTAAATAAAATGTTTCTTCAGTTTGGTCTCCAAAGCCATGAAAAAAGTATTTAATGATTAAAAACTACATATTGGGAGGATATTAAGAGGAGGAATCATAAAGAGCAGATGAAAAAATTAAA